ACGTAAGGTCCCATAAGATTGTGGGAGACTCCACAGTAGCATGTGATTAGTGAGACAATGCCATTTTCACACAGCCATCACTAGTGATGGGAGGGGAGATTGAGAAACCTTGGCAGTGCAGCTACTCTGTCTTATGTAATTTACTCCCACTTAATAAAACCGCATATTTTAGAACAAAATAATAAAAACTATTTCTGAGTTGAAGGAATGTTTCCATTCTAATAGCATTATTTTGGCCTAAAATTTGCATCCGTTCACAGGTTAGTAAATAGCCTTGTATTAAGTCTTGCACTAAACTAGGATGTTTTAAGTTATTGTACTGCTCTAATTAAACTATTACATTTAAATGCCTTAATACACATGACCTAATAGGATAGCATCATGCTCTAGTAATTTTTCATATTGATTACTGTAATTCACCCCTGTCCTCCTCTCCTGTAATTCTCTCTCTGGTGTTCCCAGAAACCATACTGCCTCACTACAGCCGCCAGGCTGATCTTTCACCCCTATCGTTCCTCCCATACTTCGCCCCTCAATCCTTACACAGGCTTCCAGTATCCTATAAGTGTCAATTCAAAACATGAAACTTTACCTATACAACTTACCTGGCATTCAGTCTGACCTCTTTTACCACCAGAACCCACCATCGTGGACTTGGCTATTCAACTTTAGTAAGAGCTGGTGGAGCAGATTGCGTTAGCGACTACAGTCAGAGGGGCCTGCTGGAAGGCCCTAATTAATAATAAGCAGTTTAGATAAATTATTAGTGCACAAGTGTTTTAGTTATACAGCATATGATGATAAAAAAAGGTTGTATAAATGATCTATGTTTATTCACAGTCTACGTACTGCTGATTCTGCCCCATCCAGTAATGGTGCAGGCCTAATTGTGGGCCAGGGTAGTCCTTTCACTTGGCAGTAAATGTAAGTTCTAAAGAATGTCCAATACAACTAAAGAAGCATATGTTCATGTAAAGCAGACTATAGGAATAAAAATCTAAAAAGCAGGATAAAATAAATGCACGCCATGTGCAAATCAAATATTTGTAACTTGATCATTAGTTATCTTTTAGAGGCATGTTCTTAATTTCAACCCAATGAATAATAGTACAATAAAATTTTAGTTTTTTATTCATTTAAAAAAATGTCAATAATCATATTTTAGGATATAAAGCTATTATTTCAGAGTTTTTTGTGCAGTGTGCGCGGCAACTTCTTCAGTTTCTAGTGACATTGTTTGCTATTACATTGTTTTGTTGGTAATATAGAACCCCATAGAGAGGAATGGAAAATATTAAAGTCCTAAGGTTGGGAATAAACACAACTCGGGATTCTGTATTGGTGCAAGTGATCTAGGATTTGATAACTCAAAATATTTATTGGTAGGATAAGTTAAAATCGATTAGTGGGAATCCATCACTAGATTATACCTACTTCAATACAATGTTTGCAAGTCCATTACATTTCCAGTTGTAATTCAGCATTCCCTTTTTAAATTATATTTTTAGATTTTTTTTCACTGACAGTGATACACACATTGCTTTTTAGCATATCCTTTAATTTCTCCATTTGGCGTCCAAGCATTTTAAATATTTTTATTACATGGATGATAGACATTTTGGATAGTAAACTTGAATACTTTGATCCTCGTGGGCTTTAATTACAACATTGAACTTCTTCTTAGATACATGAATAAAACATAACTAGCTAGTTGACCAACTTTTAGTTCATATTTACATGTGGATCATCACCAATTTTTTTCTAATTTACTCTACTTATCTTTTTATGTTTTTATATATTTCAGCATTTCTTAATTTGTTTATATTTTCAGTCCAACAAAATTTTCATTCTGATTTTTGTTGAAGGCAAGGTTATTCATTTTTTGAATAGAAAGAAGAATCCTTTAAAATGCAAGATTGCTGCTTGTTTTTACACTACTTAGTGGCGGTGTTTCACTTTGTTGTGGTTGTATTGCTTGTTTGTTTTTTGTCACTATCAGACAAACTTTTTCTAACCTTTTACATCCATTCATCAGTGTTTCTTTGAAAGAAACATTGTTGTCACCGATATAACTTAAATGTATTTTATATGTGCTGGCTAAGGTTTTCTACCTGTTCAAATTTCTATAGTTGTCCTAAATAAAAGTAAAACTCTGAACAAACCTGCCTCCCTTTTTCACAAATAATTTTTCTGATGGAAAGCTATTCACTGTAGTTGAGCAAATGAAAGACCAATGTGAGCTGAGCTGCTGACTTGACTGCTGTCTTATTAGTATATAATTTCTAACCAATGGTGGCGGGGGGGGAGGGGGCTCGAGGAGGAGAGGTAAGGGGGTAGATAATAGGAGGACAGTGATTGGCTACAGAGTGGATTGATGTCACCAACCTACTCACACTGATTTCTCATTGGTTAAGTTGAGTGCATACTTTATCTAATACGCCAGTTGCTTTGTGGAAACGGTGAGTGTTATTAAGGAGCAGAGTTGCACTTCAGAAAGCTTGAAAAACTTGCAACCAGGGTCGGTGCCAACTTTAGGTGAACTAGGCATTCTCCTAGGGTGCCAGCCTGCTGGGGACGCCCCCCGGGATATTTCCTGGTGGGCTCCCCCTTTCTGGGGCCGCAGCGCTGGAAGAGCAGCTCTCGAGCCAACCCCAGCACCGGGCCAAACTGCAAGGTGCCCGAGGGTGGGGGTACCAAGAAGAGCGCTGTCCCCCGAACCTGTATTAGGTAAGGCATAGCAGGCACCTGCTTGATGGCAGGTGCATGCTTTGCCAAAAAACAGCCAGTGCCCGGAGGAATGGGGGGAACGGAGCAGGAAGGCAGCGAGGGAGGCTGTTCTTGCAGCCTCTTACTCCTCCCTCACGCGCCCTCTGTAATGCCGGGAGCTGGAATACGATGTAATTCTTGCCCCGGCATACTAGACGGCACGCTGGAGGAGTGAGGAGCTGCTCCACACTGGACCTCAGCAGGTAGGTCAGTGTTTGAATGTGTCAGTGAGTGTCTGCCTGTGTGTGTGTTTGCCAATTAGTGTCTGTGTGTGTGTGTGTGTGTGTCAGTGAGTGAGTGTATGTCAATGAGTGTGTGTGTGTTTTTGTCTGTCAGTAAGTGAGGGTATGTCTGTCTGTCAGTGAGTGTATGTATGTCAGTGAGTGAGTGTATGTATGTCATTGAGTGTCTATGTTTGTGTGTGTCAGTGAGTGAGTGAGTGTATGTCTGTCTGTCAGTGAGTGAGTGTATGTATGTCAGTGAGTGTCAGTGAGTGTCTCTGTGTGTGTGTGTCTGTCAGTGAGTGAGTGTGTGTATGTATGTATGTCAGTGAGTGTCTGTGTGTGCGTTTGTGTCAGTGAGTGAGTGTATGTATCTCAGTGAGTGTCTATGTGTGTCTGTCTGTCAGTGAGTGAGTGTATGTATGTCAGTGAGTGTCTGTGTGTGTGTCTGTCAGTGAGTGATTGTATGCATGTATGTCAGTGAGTGTCTGTGTGTGTGTCAGTGAGTGAGTGAGTGTATGTCTGTCAGTCAGTGTGTGTTTGTATATCTGTCAGTAAGTAAGTGTATGTCTGTCTGTCAGTAAGTGTCTGTGTGTGTGTGTGTTTGTGTGTGTGTATGTCTGTCAATGAGTGAGTGTATTTATGTCAGTAAGTGTCTGTCAGTGAGTGAGTGTATGTCTGTCAGCGAGTGTGTGTTTGTGTGTCTTCCAGTGAGTGAGTGTGTGTGTCAGTGAATGTGTGTGTCAGTGAGTGTGTGTCTGTCAGTAAGTCTGTGTTTCTGTCAGTGTGTGTCTTTCAGTGAGTTAGTGATATTAGGGGGCAGCAAAATGGATCTTTGCCTAGGACGGCAGAAATCCTTGCACCGGCCCTGCTTGCGACTATTGTTTTTCTTATTTTTAAGAAAAATAAAAAGATTTGAATTTAAAGTAAAAAGCAGTATGAATATTAAGCCAAAATGAATAAACCAAAATAAAATGTACTTAGTTGTATTGGTGCGCAGCGTGTGCCTGCAGCAGGCCCGGACTGGCCATCGGGCATACCGGGCAAATGCCCGGTGGGCCGCGATGGCCGTGGGGCCGAGGCCGGCAGGGGATCTCCCCGGCCGGCCCCTGCAGGGCCAGCGCTATCCGAGCGCCGGCCCTGCATAGTGCCTCCGTGGGCCGGTGGGGAGATCAAAGATCTCCCTCACCGGCCCACAGACAGTGAGATGCGGCCGCGCCGGCTGGTGAGGGAGGGAGGGAGGACCCGGCGGAGCTCCAACAAGCAGCTCCGCCGGTCCTCTCGCGGGATTCTGAGCGTTGCCGCGGCAACGCTCAGATCTCGCGAGAGTGAACTCTAACCCGCAGGTTAAAGTTCACTCTCACCACTGGACCACCAGGGAAGGCAGCATGGCTCCCAACCCCCCAGGGAGAACTGATCTTCTCCCTCCCCCCCCCTCCCAGGATAAAGGTAAGAAGGGAGGGGGGGGATATAATTTTTTTTTTTTTTTTTTAGTAAAAAAAATATTTAAATTTAAATAAAAAAATACATTCACACACACAGCACCCCCATACACAGCACCCCCCAGACACACACAGCACCCAGACACAGCACCCCCCAGACACACACAGCACCCCCAGACACACACAGCACCCCCAGACACACACTGCACCCACACACAGCACCCAGACACACAGCACCGAGACACACACAGCACCCCAGACACACAGCACCCAATTTACAGCGCCCCTGAACAGACCACAGCACCCCCAGACACACACTGCACCGGACACAGCACCCCCCAGACAGACACAGCACCCAGACACAGCACCCCAGACACACACTGCACCCAGACACAACTGCCCCCAGACACACTGCACCCAGACACAGCACCCCCCAGACACACTGCACCCAGACACAGGCGCCCCCCAGACACACACACAGCACCCAGACACCAGCGCCCCCCAGACAGGCCTGGCACCCCCCAGACACACACTGCACAGACACAGCACCCCCCAGACACACAGCACCCAGACACGGCACCCAGACACAGCACCCCCCAGACACACACTGCACCCAGACACAGCACCCCCAGACACACACTGCACCCAGACACACATAGCACCCCCCAGACACACACAGCACCCAGACACAGCACCAGACACACACAGACCCAGACACACACAGCGCACCCAGACACACACAGCGCCACCCAGACAGACACAGCGCCCCCCAAACACACAGCACCCAGACACACACAGCACCCTCACTCACACACAGCACACACATATATATATAAAATAACCCTCAGTGAGTTAACAGACAAAGAAAATTAGAAACCTAGAATGTGACAGCAGATAAAAACACCCTCACACACAGCACCCCTCTTACATACACACACTTCGCCCCTCACACATACAATAAGTCAAAATATATATATATATATATATATATATATATATATACACACATACATACATACACACACACACACACACACACTACAGCACCCCTCACCCTGCACCACTACACACGCTCCAGATACACATTAGATCCCTTACCCTATATGCACTCTTAATCCTCTACACACACACACTGGGTCCTTTACACAGTAGATCTCCTACACACACACACTACATTCCTTGTCAGCAAACACATACAACATTCTCTAAACACACCCTCTCTGCAACCCCTACACACACTACGTCACCTATACACACACACTTCAGCCCGTATGCACACACTCGCTGCATCCCCTATAAAACTATGCCCCCTATACACACACTCTCTACAGCCCCTAGCCACACATATTACACCACAAACACAAATTAAATTGACCTATTTATACAATACCACACCACTCTCTACACACATGCAATCCCACAAGCAGGCTCCAAACACATGCACCATACACTTTCCTGGCCCTTTTGTCCTCTGGTATCCCACTTGTGGAAACACCAGAGACAATTTAAAAGCAAACACAGCACAAGCATGTTATTAAATTTGCTTGCGCTGCGCAGAACAAATTCAGGGCATTTTTCTAATGTCAGAGCTCTTCAGCAGGGCTCTGGGCATTGAACCAACATGCTCACTTTGAGAGGGGACGTGTTGTCATTAGTGATGACAAAACACACACTCTCTGGCCCCGCCCCTTTCTTAGGGGGCCGCTCTGATTGAAAAATGCCCGGGCCTAATTTTTTTCCCAGTCCGGCCCTGGCCTGCAGTATCCCGAAAAGCATCCTTTTACACACCAATCTTCTTGTTCCCATTTGGAGAATAATTTGTGAGCTTAATTTGTCACACAAGGAATAGTTTAAGCATGATAGCCACTAAAACTCATTATACTGGGTGGGACAGGGGGAGGGGGATTGCATGAAAAGACACACAGGTCATTGAATTGATGCTACATTTAGCAATTTATTATTGGGTAGTGTTTTGGTCTTAAAAAATAACATCTACATGGCTATTTGAACACTTCTGTTTAACAAGTATCTTCCTATATTTACTGCATCTACTTTTTGTGGCAAAAAAGTGAGTACATTAACATTAATCAAACATAAAATAATTTGCACAAGAATGATCTTGCACCCAATATGTGTGTGCATTATGTGCATCAAATATATATTATGCTATTTTTAAAATAAAAAAGAGGCTGGTAGTGCATATGTTAATTAATGAATAATATTGAGCACTGCACACCATGCCTTGAGCATTAGATTACAATTTTGATTTGAGAAAAATAAACCTTGTATTTAAAAGTAACAAAACACAACAGTAGAGCAGAGACAACTGGTATGAATATACTATTCTTTAATGAATGTTGAGCCAATACAGAATTCAAACAGTATAAGGACAATATTTTTTGATGTCTCTATAAGTGTTTCTTGGTAACTTGTCTTCTGTTTAGATATTCTGAAAGAAAAAGAATGCATTGTTAGTTACCAAGAAAAAAGTCATATGTTCTTAATATGTTCTTGACATTCATTAAAAAGCCCAAGTGCATGACTGCCAACAATGACTTTCCATTTGATGTTAACAACAGCTCACAGTATGTTTTGCTAGTGTTGGGTGTTAAAGTTTCAAAAGAGCTATATTGTTACCCAGGTCTACAGTGCAGGAACCTATGATTTGAAGAGGCAACTGCATCGTTGTTTTCCTCTTGCTTTTATAAACAGTCACATTGCCTGCGGGTAATGGACTTTATGCTCTAACCTTTTCTGCCTCGTATCGTGCCTTTTTTGCTCCCTTTTGACTTACCATGCTTTTCTTGCCCATGAACCAGTATATAGAAACATAGAAATATAGAATGTGACAGCAGATAAGAACCATTCGGCCCATCTAGTCTGCCCATTATTTCAAAATACTTTTAATTAGTCTCTGGCCTTATCTTAAGTCTAGGATAGCCTTATGCTTATCCCACGCATGGACTATATGAGAAACCAAATGGCTGAATTGTGAATAGTGAATATTTGTACAAATGTTGTTTGTGCAAGTAAAATGGAAATATAAAATACTTTTTAAATTTTCACATGTTCATATTGGAGAATAACGAATATATCCATATATATTTGATAAAATGACAAATGGATAAACATTACCATTTTCACTATGTATGTTCAATCTACAGCACATACATATAATATGAATTCTATTCTTGTTCAAATTTAACTCACAGCATTGATCCATAAGCAGACACTCTGGTGAACACTGTTGGTTTGAGGTAGGCATTGCATCCAGAAGAAGACACAAAACTAGTTACACCATGGACCTGGTAAACTCCATTGACAGCACAGTTGAGGGGTCCGCCAGAATCTCGCTATAGTAGAAAAAAATTAGGTGTATTCTAGACCAGCTTTAAGTAAGGGAATGCTTACAATATTGGCATACATTTTGACCCAGTTACAAAAAATGTTAGAATATATTTATAATCTTTTATATAGACCCATATGTCTACAAAACTATGGTTAGCAATATTATCAAATACATAATTACAAAACATGGATAATCGTCCTGTCTCTAGCTACCAACTCTTCTTTTATACATATTACCTCAACTTCATTCCTGTGTGCGACAAACATTCCTTCCCATGAACATTTGCCATGAGCTCCTGGAGGAGTGTGAAAGCTGGTCTCCTGCCCACCGACTACGGTCCAGGTCACACACCCCATTTGGGAGTTACACTGCTCAGCCGCTCTTAGCAGCTTTCCCCAGACACTATTTGGACAACTTGGGCACTTATATCAGGGATTTTTGGGGATGTAAGACATGTGAGGTTATTGCATGTTTTTATAATGTTTTGGGGTACTTTTATGTTTGGCTCTCTGTTTCTGGGAGATAATTAACTTACCAGTATTTAACTTAATTGTCTCCCAGGCACAGAGACACCTGGGAGAGGCTTGTATTGTATTGTTTGGAGACCTACTGTGGGGGTCTGTGCATAAATTGACGAGTTTGGCCCATTAAAATCTGTTGCACTCCCAGAACTATGTGTTGTCTAGTTATTGGAAGGGGAAAGGGTTAATTACTGCTCAGCATCTTGTTCCAGCTCGTGGAGGATTAAGAGGGGAAGTCTTTGTAAGAACTATCTCTCCCAGGACTGTGTGTCGTGTCATCCAGTCCTTGGGAGGAAATAGAGCTAGTCCCAACCCTTTTCCAGGATGGAGAGGCTCCATCCCAGCCGGGGTACAGGGAGCTCTGTTCCACTGTGTATCTGTTGTTGTGACTTCAAATCCTTCCTTAATGCTTTATTGAAGCAGATTAAATATTGGGGTTTTTTTTATTTGAAATTAAAAATTGTACCTTTGCGTCTGATGAGAAGTTACATTGTCAGTCCAAAATCTCTGAGCCGTTAATCAATGCCAGGCAATAATGTACTGCACTGTCTACTTATCAGTACCCTCTTGGTTTTGGACATAATTAAGTGACTGATGTTCTGAGAAAATGGAAAGCCTTAACTTGATGAAGAGTACACGCAAATGAGGAGAGGGAACAAGAGGCCTGCAGGCTCAACCTCCAGGTCTTTCACCGTTTTATACCATGTGGTCTTCAGAATCGTTAAATGATTAGCAACACAGGTCAAACTTGTGAAACACTTGCCTTGGAAAAGTAGCTGGGCAAAAACAAATTCAAACGATGCATTCAGATTTTCAAACATTGTGTTACATCCTGTTCCTAGCTGCGCATCATTCTGGCAATGGCTTCTGGTATCCAGTTCTCTTTTTACAAGTCTTGTTTAGTTTTTCTTGTTTTTTGGGGGGTTTTCTATTCTATGTCTGGTTTTCTTTATGCTGGGTTTTTCTGCGTTCATTCCTGTATTCCGTCCTGGGAATTCCCAGTCTCCAGGGTTCCTTTAAATGTTTGTTTTATTTGCCACACCCGTTTGTTTTCCATCATTCCTTTTGTTTCAGTGTTCCTGCAGGCAGCCGCTCAAATCTTCTGCCCTTTCTTGCAGGTAAGTTCTATGTGTGTTTTCTTTGGTTGTTTAGCTTGCATTAGGCAGAGTAGGACCTGCCAGATATGGGGTACATTGGCATTGTTGGCAGACTTATGCAATGTATGATCATATAATGTAACTAAATCCCCATGATTTTCATATATAGTACTTAGTTCTTTCTCCTCTTGTTTTGCCTATCATATCTTGTCTTGTTTTAGTTTGTCTTCCCAGTCCATGTACAGTCCTGTCCAGTCCTGCCCATGTTATGTCATTGTTTCCCTTATGTATTGTGTACATGTTCTGGGTTTAGCTTCCTATCCTTCTCTGGTTCTGGGTTCTATTAGCTTTGTCTTGTCTCCATGTTTGGTGCCTTTCCTAGTCTTGCCTTGTTTCTGTACTGGATACATTCTTGCTGCAGTACCTCCCTATTCGGCTCTGGGAGGTCTGCATAATTCCAAGCTCCTAGTTCCCGGGATCCGCATAAGCTGAATCAGGGTTCTGGTATGTGGCTGCACAAACGCTGGTGCTCAACACCAGGGGGCGTGCGGTTACCCTGCACCAGACCCTGCTAATCCACCTCCACACTGTGACTCCTACTTTGAACATCAGGCATACTGGGTCCTGGTCCTCTAATCTTCTGGCATCCTCTACTTCTTCCACCCACTGTGTCATTGACTGTCTCCAATAGATTGGGATTGTGACCTGGTCAGCCAAACTCCGAGGTAGCACATCTTTGTTTCACAGTGTTGGAATGGGAATTGGTGCGCTAGAGTTTGGTGCTGCTCATGAGCTGCGGTCAGGTCGAGGAGCTCTGATTTGGTATAATGGATGCAGAGACTGGAGATTGCGC